CTGGATTGAGAGCTGGATTGAGAGCTGGATTGAGAGCTGGATTGAGAAACGTTTGGCTTCAGAGAGAACGAGGGCTGCTGTCGTGTAACTGAACGGATGAACCGGAGCAGAAAAGCAGCGGTTTCACTCCAAAAACACGTGGTGTGAACGGGCTCCTAATGTTCGGGTCTATGTCAAAATATTTGTCATTACGCAAGATAAATTCTATCTGATGCGAGTTAATCAATGACTTTTTATTATCACTTCTTCTTTTAACTTTCTGATGTTGAATTAAAATGACTGTTTCCTATTAAGGACAGAAATCCTCAATAAATTGGCATTTTTTGATTCCTCTAGTTTATTTGATATTTAACATACACCTAAATGTTTGCTCTACACCGTTTTAAAAGCCATATCCAAAACTATCAAGGTTATAGTTTATTTTTCAATTCATTTGTTGATTTTGACAAATAAGTAAAAGTGATATGAATTTACCATATTGTAGTAGTGAATATATATGAATAGAGTGGGAAATAATAATCCTGTCTCGGATATTCATTTAATTGTGGGCGGCTGTGGCTGAGTGGTTCGAGCAGTCGTCCTCCAATGCAAGAGTTGGGGGTTCGAATCCACCAGCAGTCACATGCTGAAGTGCCCCTGGGCAAGACACTGAACCCTCATAGCCTCTGATGTGTGTCCATCGGTGTATGAATGTGATGAAGCTCTGATCAGTCTCTGTAGAATGATTTGATCAGTTAGCTTTGTAGAGATCTAGTATAGAGCTGTATGAACGGGTCAATGAGGCACAGATTGTTGTAAAGAGCTTTGAGTATCTTGATAAGATAGAAAGGAGCTGTATAGGTACAGTCCATTTACTATTTCTTTCATCCATGGGTTGTTTTTTCCTCCAATAATAAAAAGTGGAGGACTCAAATAATTTGAACATTGTTATGAAACGAAACCAACAAATTCATTTTTTTTTTTTATCCTAACTGGTTCTTAAAAGTTTAAAAGTCCATGTTTGTAGTGAAATAAAGGGAGCAGCTCCCAGTGGGCTGTTTCCTACATCACTGCCTCTCAGTGGTGTGCTCTACATGTATTTACCGGGTGTACTGTGCCTGGAAACCAAAGTACACCAGTTAGTACAACGTAATCGTTAATTTACTTAGATTTTTAAGCATATTGAACATTCTTAATTTTCTCTGATGCTTATGCTGGTGAAGATTCTCAGTCATTCAGGACACAATGAATTCAAAAAACGAGTTGAGAATTGAGGAAGCTCCTCGGATGATGAGCGAAACGTCTTCCGTTACAAATAAAGTCCAGTTGTTTTCGTATGGAACGTTTTTTGAACTCTGATGCTTATATTTGAATAAATGAACAACTAACTTTGTACAACCGTTGGCTTTGTATTAAAAACATGTTATAAAATGTATCAAACATGTTCCAGTATTAAGTACAGAAATATTAATTAAACATTGCATATGACATGGACTCCACCTCTCCATCCAGATGTAGTGAGAGAACATTTAAAGCCACAGGTAGTGAAGATTCATCGGACGTTCGATCGTCTCTTACTGCCTCGTACGAAGATCACCATCATGTGATCTGACAGAAAACACCTGTTTCTGACGGTTTACAATTAATTCCTTGGAAATGTGCGGTGATGTTGAACATATTACAGCTGTAATTCTCCATTATTGCATGACATTTAGTTTATTTAAGCGTTCACTATTTTCCCCAAACTCTTGGTAAAACAAGACCGATAGTACAAGTAGGAAGTCAATGAGCACTTCTTCGGTACACAAGTGATAAATCACAAGATGGCTCTTTATGAAATAACCCCCACCAGCAGATCCATTTTTACATCTGAAATACTTCACAGCCCTTTAATGTTGCACAGACGCTTCAGTTTATGAAATGCAGCCACAAGATGATGTCAGATAGAGAAGTTGCCCAACTTCCATTTAAGAACCTGCCAGAACATCCCTACATCAAACCGAGAGACCGCACCTCGTGTAGCACACAGCTTTATTTGACTAAAGTTAGTCGCTTCCTTGAGCTCATAAAGGTCTTCCCCTTCGCAGAAACAACTCTCCCACGTGAGCCCCATAACTGGAGCGTGCTGCTTGGGACCAGTTCAGGAAACTCACAGCACGGGGCTAAATCCAGTCCCAGGACTTGACAGTGACCTGTACGCTTCACATGCACCTTCACAGGGTTAACATGTGGAGAACAGCTGATTTACCAGCTACATTAATATGCAGAGTAAAGAAGAAAGTTTGAATGTGGGCAACAACTTTTCTAACCTGATGTCATGCAAACAGATCAGTGAAGCATATGTTTGTTAGGAGGAGGAAAAACTGAGAAGACGAGAGAAGAAGCCAAATGGTTCCTTTCGGGGACTGAGATAATAAAAAATGTGACAATCTGATTGAATCAAAGTCAATAAAAGAGCAATGATGTTAATAAAATGCTGAGAACAGGTGCCTGTAGCTGCAAATTCAATCTAAGATCAAGTAAATACTTTTCTTACAGAGATGATCTTTTCGACTGAGAAATTTCATTTAGCTTTAGAAATGTTGCCACTGCATAAAAAACGTGTTCAGTTGTGGTTCTTGTTACAGATCGCAGCATATTAGAGAGAAGTTTAGTGGCGCCGGAGATCATTGCAATTCTAATGATGAACGATTGATCATCGATGATGAAAAATAAAAAGAACTGGCCAAGAAAAGGCTCCGAGTTGATCCCAGTGTGGGTGCTAAACGCTAACCATTTCATTTATTGCTACAGGAGGCCGATGGAAACTATTCAACAAAGATCGCATCACTTAAGACGAGAAAATCTCTCGTTTGAAATAAAATACAATTTCAATATCTGAACAATCAATTATTAAGTGTCATCAAAATATTTTTAAATAATCTACTGAACTCCTTGCATCGTGTCAGATGAGTGAACGAAACAATCCCACTGCTTCTTTAAGCACTGAAGACAAGAGAACAGCTGCAACTTGTTCCCACACTTTGTGCACTGACAGTAGATTCAAGCCAAGCACAAATGTGAAGACGTGCTGGAGGCGACTGAAAACATTCATTTACGTGCACGTCATGTGCAACAATGTAGAGTCATGTGGGTAAAACTGAGCTGAAGCTCCTAATCCTCAACGCTTCAAGTTGCAGAGGGACCAAAAAGACCACCATGAAAAAGAAACAGCCCTCCGTGGACCACGAGTTCAAAAAGCAACATCCCATAAAAAGCACGATGTCGTTCTCCATCAGTATTCAGAAAGTGCATGTGAGTCTTTAGTGGCTCTCCTGAGCACGTCATTAGAACATGAATCGTGCACACAGTCTGACTCCCAGAGTGTGAAGCCTGTTGCAAACCTGCTCCATCGTCCCACAGGAAAACTTCCCGTTTATTGTTCAATTAAAACGTCTTTCTGCAAAGTGTCTGGCCAAACAGCAACTACATTAAAAACACAGAAACTATTTGATGCATATTGAGTTACAAATCCCTAAACGGCGGCAGCTGTTGTTGTTGTGTCCCCCCCCCCCCCCATGTAAAGACGACTCAATAATTATTTCCAGCACATAGCAAACAAATACACGTTATCATAAATAAGAGCCAGGATGCACATTCCATAAGATGGACGCTACACTTTTAAACAAACGGAGTCTTGAAGCTGAACACATCATCTGTGCATCGTCTGATCTCCCTGCTGATGGAGCAGCAGCACTTCTCTGCAACTGATGATGAGAGTATCATCTGTGCACAGCGAGCACGTGCTCACTTTTACAAGCGTGATGAAAGGCTGTGGTTAAAGGTGGTCTGCTGCAGCCATTCTTCCTGCAGCTCAGCACTGATCCAAGGCTGTGCTTTGATTCCATCAGCCGGACGGACGTTTGACTTTTCTGTCTTGGCCAACTTTAATCTGAGCTCCCAATCAAAAGGAAGAGAAGCAGAGCGGGCGCACCTGTACCTGACTCAAGACACACACCCTCTCTCAGCAGATCCTCCCTGTTACAACACATCTGGCACGAGAAGCTGTTGCATGTTGTGGTGGCACATTTACACAAGACGGTGGTGTCCACGTGACTTGTTGGCACCTGACCCGTGTTTGCGTGCGGCCTTTACCTGGTGGCACGTGATGAGCAGGGCAGACCACACGAACATCCCCGACAGGACCTGGGCGGCCATGGTGTCCAAGAACATGTGACCCTCTGCGACGGAGCCGTTTCCTGTTCGGACCATGGGCGTGTTGTCCGACAGCTCGGGGACAACCGGAACATCCAGGTGGACTGACACGTTCTCGGCCGAGTTCATCTTGAAACTCACGAGAGAGAACGAACAGAACTCTGCAACACGAACAAGAAAAGTCCTCAAAGAATGAAATGCAGGTGAACTTCCGGTGCGGAGCTCGTGCGCCGTCAATCAACAACTGGCTCACCTTGTGCACCTGACGTGCGTGTGTCAAACAGGCCAGGCTCGTGACAGGTCGGGGGAAAGGATCAGCATGGAGGATAAAACCCGGGTCCACAAGTCCGAACCAGCCGACCTACGCGTTCAACTTCCTCGTTTGAAACGCAGCAGGTGCGGAGGTCCAAGTCCGCGCAGTCAGTGGGAAAAGTCAAAGTAAACTCAAAGTCATAAAGTTAAAGGTGAAGCAATAACTTCCACTGAACGTTACCTTTAACAACAGCTTGGAATGGATCCTGTCGAGGAGCGACGAAAACAGGTTGGGCACAGGTACATGATGTCACGTGGCCTCGGTGCAGCTGGTGACGTCATTACGCTTCCTCCTCACGCTGTCAGTTTTTTTTATGTTGGGCGTGATTGACGAATCACCCTAATCCTCCCATGTTCTTTTACTGAGGACAAAATAAAAGTATAATGCGTCATCATTTTTACTCTTTATGACGTCACCGTTCTTTGTTGAAAGCAGGTCTCTCTTGTAGACGAGCCTCAGTGGGACCAACCTGTCTAACTAAAGGTTGAAAGTTATTACAGTAGTAAAATTAACGGGGCAGCAGTGGCTGGGTGGTTTGAGCAGTCGTCCTCCAGGGGGAAAGTTGTGGGTTTGATTCCAGCAGCAGTCACACGCTGGTGTCCCCATGAGCCCCTCACGGCCTCCGATGTGTCCCATCGATGTGAGAACGTGATAAAGCTCCCATTAGTCTTCGTATACAGTGGAGCGCTGCATTTGTGGGTAAATGAGGGCATTTAAAGAGCTCAGTGTCTTGATAAGATAGACAGGTGCTATACAAGTAGATCATTTACCAATAATAAATCAATATACAGTCTTGTTATGGGCCTTTAATTGGCTTAAAAACATTGAGATGGTCGGGGTCATAAATCTCTGCCGCTGGTACACCACTGGTCAATAGCTAAGAAACTTTGAGAACCAGTGACCTATCGCACCTACTTTTACAGAACTACAAACTTTGGACAATAAAAACTAATTATTGAGGGGAGCAGCTGTAAATCTTTATTAATATCTGGATGTGTACACCCCTGCTAACATTTTATTCTGTTTACTGATAAACACATTCATGAACATTTAATCAAGAATTCCTCGAGGCTCAATGGGATTAACCCGTTTAAATAAAGGTTGAATGAAAAAATCTTCCGTTTCCAAAGGAACTGTGCATTTGAATTGTTGCTTGTATCAAAGACAAATAAAGCAAAAATACAATTAAAAAAGAACTTAAAATGGCCTTTTCAATTTTTATTTGACACACGTTAAACTATATGCAATGTGAATTATAACACAGTTATAAACAGTATAATGGTACATTGTTCGCTCCGTAAACTAGAAAATATGTCCCGTTATTTCTGAGCACAAAATCAGATAAAACAACAAAAACAGAAGAAAACAAACCTGAATATAAAATCAACCCAACTCAAACACAATGAGCACTTTCAGTTGAGTAAAAAAGACCAAACGTTTGAAATTTAAACATCTGTATAATAAAATACAGATACATATATAAAAGAATGCTACATTTAACCAACATGTTTGATAAAAACTAAAAAACTGAATGAAGAGAACTACGTGATCCACAGAATGATCACAGCACCGAGCTTCTGGTCGTCAGTCCAACTTATCACCACACCCGACACCCTTGGACCATCTCCTTCAGTTGTTTAATGGTTTCTAGGGAGGAATCCTTCAGAGCCAGTCCCAGTAAGACGGGCCTGTTCCCAGCTTCTTGTGAGACAAACACAGCGAGGTGTTTGGCACAGACGTGAGTCAGTGGCTGTAAAGAGAAACACAAGCACGTATGAAGACGTGACACACAAGCAGCCATACATGGCAGTTCTACATTACAACATTAGTCTGAGGACAATTTTCAAAAGTCAAGGCCTCAGAACAGTAGCTCCTTTAAACAAAGACAGTTGAATATCCTGATGCATGCTCAATAATCCAGGTAGAAAAATCTAAAAAAGTTCAATCTGGTCCTCTGGACATTCAAAAAAACAAAACAAAGCAAATCAACAAAAAATGTAGAAACGTTTCGTCTCTCATCCTGAGGACTTCCTCAGTCTGAGGTGCTGTATTCAGCTCAGTCTCTTAAATAGCACCTTCTCAGAGTGGATCAACCAGTTTGCTGCTGACAACCAGAACCAGCTGATCACATGCTCAAGAAGGACCATCAGCCTAACAATGGATCATTAGCACCTGATGGCTGTTTACTGTTCACAGAGGGCTGAGTGATACTAGCAATCACAGCATTGTAAGAGGGGGACAGTTGAACCTGGAGGCTCCACCCCTGTTTAATGATGGACGGTTTCTTTTCACAAAGATGGCCTCCTTTACTCCTCTCTCAAACCATCGTTCCTCTCTGTCCAGGATGTGAACATCTTCATCCCTGAAAGAGTGACCTCTGACCTGGAGATGAGTGTAGACCTCAGAGTCCTGGCCTGATGATGTTGATCTTCTGTGCTGGTCCATCCTTTTGGCCAGTGGCTGTTTAGTTTCCCCGATGTAAGACTGATCACCCTCCTGACACTGAACAACATACACAACATTACTCTGTTTGTGCCGGGGGACTGGATCTTTGGGATGAACCAGTCTTTAATGTATTTTGGGGTTTAAAAGCCACTGGGACGTTATGTTTAGAAAATAAACGTCTCAGTTTCTCTGATACTCCCTCAACATATGGAATGACCACTGGTCTGGGTCTGGGTTCCTCCTTTTCACCTGTTGGCTGACTGGAGTCCTGTTTGGGTTTCTTCTTTCAGGAAGGCCCAGTTAGGATATCCACATTGCTCTAGAGCCTGTCTTGTGTGGGATTTCTCCTTCTGCCTGGCTCCTGAGCTAGTGGGGACGCTGTCTGCTCTGTGGTACAGAGTCCTGATGACTCCTAACTTGTGCTCCTCCGAATTCCTCCGGATGCATGTAAACACAAAATCCGACCGTGTCAACGCAAATCGTTTCCTCTAATTAACATAAGAAAAAACCTACGTTTCCCCCCATCGTGTCCGTGTAAATAGGGCCTCAGTTGTCTCTAAAGCCCCCAGTATACTGCCGCATACCTCCATACGCAGAGGTACGCACGTACGTACGCAGAGGTACGAGCGTACCCCCCAGGGCATGTCTGTGCAAAGCTCAAATTTTTACGACCACATACGCGGTGTCGCACAATAAACTGCTCGGCGACGGACTGTTTTGTATGCAACACCAATGTATTAAATTCCTCTTCTTCATCCCTGATCTGGCCTTTTCTTTTGTTTTTTCCAAAAGGCAGAGATCTCTTCCTCCTCCGTTGATGCCATGACTGAAATGGTGAGAAATGGAGGAATTAGTTACGAGCGAATTAAACTCAGGTCCAGCGTGGTTGCGGGAGGGTCTGGAGATTTCCTGGTGGGCTGGTCTGATGTGTGGGCTGCAGGGCCAGCGCTCCCTGGTTTTTATATATTTTTTATCTTTTTATTAACAACATATAAACACAGAACACCACTGTGGCTGAGGCTGCCAGTGCTAGTTTTTTTTCCCCCGACCTGTCAATCAATCCAGTAGGCGTGTCAACAAATGACCAATCGGCGACCTCAATTTGTCCGGAAGGTAAACGCCCCTTGTCTGTGAAGCTGCTCTGCAGCGGCTCGGGGTGGACGCTGGAGTTTAATGACTGAACCCTGTGCGTACGGTACACGCGTATGTACGCGGCAGTATACTGGAGGCTTAAGTGAACGTTTGTGTGTGTGGGGGGGGTAGAGGAATAACAAATAAAAGCCTAGAGGGCCCCCTGGTGGCTGCAACTGGTAATGTTTACTGGTTCATGTTTATGAATGAACATTTCAAGCATCAGTCAAAAATTGCGTTATGAATATGGGAAAACAAAAAGTATCTTAGTCGCAGTGATGCAAAAAAGTGTGACTTATACGCCGGAAAATACGGTTCATTCATCTTGCCAAAAGTAGGAAGATCTTCAAAATTGTTCTGAAACAAATAGTTTCAGTTAAATGTATTTATTTATTAACCTTTATATAACTGGGCAGATCACAGATCTCGGGGCCTGCAGGCAGACCAACATGCATGTTTTTGGTCTGTGGGAGGAAACCGGAGTACCCGGAGAAAACCCACGCAGCACGAGAAGAACATGCAAACTCCACACAGAAAGACCCAGGTCCAACCGGGGATTGAACCCAGGACTTTTTTGCTGTGAGGCAACAGTGCCAACCACTGAGCTGCCGTGCTGCCGAAATGAATAAATGAATCATGTAGTTAATGAATATCATGTGAATGCAACTATTGCAGAAAATAATGGCATAGAAAAACATTTTAGATCTTTATAAATGACTAAAACCTGTTTTTTTTTTTTATTACGGTAATCTAAAAGAATCATAGGCTTCACTGCAAACTTAGAAAATGTTCGCTTTTCTTTTAATGACATCCTCTTATCTATGTGCATGTAACAGTGACAACGTCACGCAGCGATGAAATGAGTTTTCTTGTGTAAATTTTAAAAGATCACTGAACTCAAAGCCACCAATCTCATTTTTCCACAATCTTCCAAAGCAGCTGAGCCAATCTCATCTGCCCTTTCACCACATGAAACGAGTCAGTCCATGTGACAACAAGTGTATAATTACACCGACACAATATTAATCTGAAGTTTCATGGTGCGTACCTCGTCTTTGCCCAGCAGCACTTTAGTGGAGAACGTTGGGGTGTTGATATCATTAGATCTGGAGTCAGGTGTGACTGAAACCAGACTCCCAATTTTGCCAAACTGAGTGAGAAGCACAAATATGTAATTAGTGAACTGTGTGCACACGACATCTGTTAAAATGCCACCGACTTCTTTCTGCGCTTGTTTTGATGTAATGAGAGGATCAGCCATTTTGTTCGTCCTGGGGAGAAAACAAAAAGAAAAATGATGAGTCAGAAAGAAACTAACTTGTTTTTGTCTTAGAAACAAGTCTGCATTTATAGCTGAAAAATGAGTACAGTGTTTTATGCTGTTTGGAATCATCGTATGAGTCATAGAAGCCGAGGCTGTTCAAGAACATTTACTGGCACTGAACAAAAAAACATGTTTAAACTTCATGTGTGAAAAATTAGCATTTGAGTACTGTTAAAATTAAACACGAGTCAAATTAAGATTATAGGTTGAAGCAGTAAATTTGCAATGCTAAATTGTTCTAATTATTATTTACTTCCATTGCTAGAAGCTTTGTGTCAACTTTGGGACTAAAATAAAGTCTGAATGTGTTGGCTGATGGAAACTGGAGCACTTTCAAACATACTGGGATTAACCTGCCGAAATAAAGCTTGAATTCATGTAACGACATGGACACTGTGAACTCAACGAAAGACAAAGCTGTGCAATGTGTTCTCACCAAACCCAACAAGCCAAACAGAGTGGAAGTAAAAGTTTAGTTTGATTTCTTTACAGGACTGAGGACTGCAGCCATGATGCTGTTAGCTAGGAGGCTAACGTTAGCCTCCTAGCTAACAGGAAACTCGAGCTTTAAAGAAAGCTAAACTAACAATAAAAATAGCACAAAAATATTCTGCGCGTTAATACTTACAGTATATTCTTGTCGTTCGTGAGTTTATAAATTTGTAAACTTTCGGTAACCCACGCAGGACAGCTTTGCTAATCTTCCACCATCACGTTAACAAATCAAAACAAACCTCAGTGTCACGTGACTCGGTTGGCTGTGGGACGTACGCTGCGTGATGACGTCACAGTCAACGTTCAGACCAAAACAGAGGAGCCGCTTCTGAAGTTTTATATTCAAGGATTATTTTTTATTCTACCAGCTCACATTTGCATGTTTATGGTGCGAAATTCGGACTCAGGTTCCAGATCAAGAAACCTAATAATTATATATTTGAATATGAATCTTTCCAATATGTTGAATATGACTCTAATATATGAGTTCAATTTCATTCATTTATTTCGTTTTCTTCATATAGTGTAACGTTCAGTTTATTGTAAAGCGACTATATTAATTATGTAAAGAGTTTAGTAACAGTGTAAACACTTTTTATTTAGGCCTACCTGTCTGTGAAACTTGATAAGTTAGAGACAGGTTGGCTGTTCTTTACAGTTTACTTTCTTATTTTGAAGAAAGTTTTCTTGTAAAACTTTTAGTCTCCAGGCAGAAATATTTGCTTGAAGGTGATGAGGATCCTTGAAAATGAAATGTTTGTTAGTAAGGTGGAAATTCTTCCTATATGATTTGAAAATCAAATCAGTCGACTGAGCAAAACTAAACCTGCGGCAGAAAAACGTGTCTGTTGTCTCTTATTCTGAAATTTACACGGAGCCAATGGAGAATTCTGCTGAACTCAGCATTTTGGACCAACGTGACTTTTTTATTTTCATCCATCCATCCATCATCTTTACCCGTTTGTTCCATTTTGGGTCACGGGGGTCGCTGGTGCCCATGTCCAGCAATCACTGTGCGAGGGGCGGGGGACACCCTGGACGGGTCGCATGTCCATCGCAGACTTTTTTATTTTATGTTTAAACATTCTGAATCTAAATAATTATAACAGTCCCGAGCCTACGTTATAAATATCTGTTTTTGTGTCTCGTTTCGTGACTAGATGTTTCTTCTTTTGGGAATATTGCATAAGTGGAGAAAGGTGGTCCTGGCAGCATTTTTTTGAATGAGACATTCAAACAACATATTTAGTTCATAGATTGCATAAATGGTGCATGCAATGATTTAGCTGACTCTTTTGAATGGCAAATTACAGCTGAATATTGCATCCAATAATGCAAGGATATAGTTTCCTTTAAGAGGAACAATTAAGGATTGTTCACAGTTTAACAGAAATTCTTGAATGATTGTATTTATTTTATTTTATCCATGAAGACGTGAGGCTCTGGTGAAGTCTGAGGATTGCATTGGGCTTACACACACACACGCACGCGCACGCACACACGCACACACACACACACACACACACAGAGAGAAGCCATTCTTATGAAAATGGTATTTTCACAATGTCAAATAAAATGCAGCTGATTTGTGATTCATTGTGCTCAGGCTGCAGAAGGTTTGAAATTGGTCGACCCACTCTTTTTACCTGCTGTCATGTCTGTCCTTGAATTATCATTCTGAACTAAACAAAACTGTAATGCAAATATATCTATAAGTAGGATTTCTTTTTTAAACAGAGGAAAATTGCTGGACTGGAAAATGTATTTGATTTGAAAAGCACTTTGTACACTGTCTTAGCAAAGTCCTTTATTAAAGGTTACAAGGCTGAGCCTCAAAGGTGATCAATAAAATACACAAGAATTTATTATACAAGAAAGGCAGAGGAATATGTTAATATAAACTAAAACAAAACTTTCATCACTATAGGAATCATTATGTTCACATTTCCCCAAAGACAGGCTGTTCATTAGGAATAAAAGAAATGCTAAATGCACTGTACTTGTACATCACCTTTCTAACTTACTTCAAGATAGTCAGAGCGCTTTAAACAACAATCTGTGCCTCGTTCACCCGTTCATACAGCTCTCTACTAAAGCTAAGTGAACAAATCGTTCTACAGAGACTAATCAGAGCGTTATCATAGTCATGCACTGATGGGACACACATCAGAGGCTATGAGGGTTCAGTGTCTTGCCCAGGGACACTTCAGCATGGGACTGCTGGTGGATTCGAACCCCCAACTCTCACATTGGAGGACGACTGCTCGAACCACTCAGCCACAGCCGCTGCTCCACAAGTTTACATTTTACTTAGATTCCAGTTTGTTTGAGCAAAGATTGAACCATTTAATGCAAATTTAATTATGGTGTTCTGGAGGGTTCTGATCTTGGACCAGTACTTTCCACTTTATATACTGTACAGTATATGCTCCCATTTGGTAACATTACTTAACAGCTCAGCCGTTCCATCAGCTATTGTATATTTTTCATTGAAGATAAATAAAACAATTACAAGAGTCTTAAATCTGTCAAAGCCTGTATGTCTTATTTTTCTGTATTTCTTTCAGACATGTTTAGAAAATTGTTGTTTTTGGACCTGAATACATGACGGGCATCTCATTTGGCGTTAGTCTGGTGATGAAACCATGAACCATGACGAGTGAATAAATATTCATGTCCAAGAGAAGTTCTTGGACCTCAGTATTTCATGTATACACTATGTTACCCAAAAGAAAGAAAAAAGACAAGTGACCCAGAACATTTTCACAGTTGTGATTGAGGTCGGACCCAGAAAAGCAGCCTGACACAAATAATTAAAAACTCAACCGAACTTTGTTGTAAAAACTAAACCAAAGGAGGCTCAGAGGAGCTCAGACATGACATCTAAACTGCTCAATGCTCATCTGATGCGCTGTGAGAAACAAAAGGGTAATATGGAATGGGACTGATGGGAAGAGTGGCGGCAGCTGAGACTAATGGGAATGGAGAACAGGTGAGGTGGGCGTGGCAGGACTGAGGAGCAGAGGGACACAGCACAATGAACCAAAGAAACAGAAACAGGAAAAACACAAAAACCACCAAACAACTCCAAAAATACAGATTCTAACCAAAAAAACTTTGTATGTGTGTTTTTATAAATAGTTTGGTCTACAAATATTCTGAGGTATCAAAGTTTTCATTAAAGTTTCCATTAATCTAAATGAGTGTGGGAGAGAAAGGGCGCGGCTGTTGCCATTCTTATTTTTATTTCTTCACACAGCGGTGTCTCTGAACTTTATTGAATCCTGAATCAGTTTAATAACAGCTCATGCATGACAGCACAGACATGAGTTGTCAACTTGCCCAAGATCTTTAGAAAGAAAATGTTATTTGTAACTCGTTGATTCTGGCTTTAACATTTTCAAATGTTAGCCGCTGCCCAGGGAGCGGAGACCAGCAGCCGACACAAGGCGTCGAGCTGTTCATATGGAAATTTCTGTGGTAGAAAATACCACAGAGACTTTGAAAAGAGTTCTGGTCTCAAATCACTTATTCCGTGTAATGTTAAACTGTGAATTACTTGGGCTTTGCTTTGCATAATGAATAGCTGTAGACTCACACTAATGGCTTCTTGGAGCGGCTGCAGGGCTTCAGGGGTTCTTGCTGTTTCCACAGAAAATGAGAAGAACTTGAATTCATTATGATTTCCATGGAGCAGCACGGTGGTGCAACTGGTGGAGCTGCTGCCTCTCAGCGAGCAGGTCCCTGGTTCAAACCCCGGTCCAGGGCCTTTCTGGGTCGAGATCGCATGTTCTCTCCGTGCATGCGTGGGTTTTCTCCCACAGACCAACAACATGCATGTTAGGCTGATTGGTAACTCTAAATTGTCCCTAGGTGTGTGTGAGAGAGTGAATGGTTGTTTGTCTCGTTTGTCTCTATGTGTCCCTGAGATGGACTGGAGACCTGTCCAGGGTGTCCCCCGCCCCTCGCACAGTGATTGCTGGACATGGGCACCAGTGACCCCCATGACCCAAACTGGAATAAGCGGGTAAAGATAATGGATGGATGGATGGATGGATGGATGGATGGATGGATGGATGGATGGATGATTTCCATGAAGACAGCTCCGGCTGTAGAACCTGTCTGTCCCAATCTGAACATTCAGACATTTTCTTTTTGTTTACAGCTTTGCTTATTTCAGCGTCTCAGCTAAAGTTACACCGCACCTGAAGCACATGCACAAAGAGATATGTGCACGTGTTACAAGGAAAAACAGGGTGCACTTGTCTTAAAGATATACTTGTGATGGGATGAGCACCAGGTGTTGCCTAAAAGACAAAAGAAATAACTCTGACACATTCTGAGGAGAGGTGACGACACCTGAAGGTTTTCAGTTCAATGAAAACTTTCTTTTATAAAACTTTTATAAAACTATTTGTCTGTGTTTGGTTTTTTTATTTTCTTAAAGTAAAGACGAACATGAAAATTCCTCAAGTTCTTCGTCACGGCCGCCCTTCTTTCATTTGTTCTTTCACATTCATTCAACCTTTATTTAGACAGGTCCACGAGCTTCAAATGTTTGTGTTGGATGAACAGAATGAAATCCCGGAGTCTTCTTCTTTAAAGGAACGTAGATCAACCGCAGCTTTTAATGACAGAGCTTTAAACTAAGATGAGGAGAAATGAGCAGTTACTGTTTGGGTCAAGATCTCACTCTCAGAGTTTGTGTTGAGGATGACTCTCAGCTACCATCACATCAATTGTAGCTCAAAATTAGTCCAATTAACGGAGTTACAGCCATTTGTGTGTTTGCTAATGCCACTTAGCCGTGGGAGCCCTCTTGAACTGGACCGACTCCAAACGTTGATGAGTTGTAGCACACGTACATACTGTCAGTAAAATACTTTAACATCCTGCTGACAGGTGACAAAAATTAAAAAGACCAACTTTCATCTCTTCAAAGCTTTAAAGTGTTTGTTTCTTTAATATTAGCTCATAATGTGATCACTTTTTAAATCACGTTGAAAACCTGATAAAGAAACTGAAATTAAAACTGGGTTTCTTTTTTCAGAAATAGATCTTTCTTAGCTCTGAATGACAGAAAACATCTTGTAACCTCCACCTTCCTGCCGGCATCGACTACGGTGACATGGGGGAGCGCTGGCACAGAGGTTAGAAGATGGGCTTGTGATCGGAAAGTCGCAGGTTCAACTCCCAGTACCATCAACATCAAATTGTGGGTGGAAAAGGTGGAACACCC